TATCCCAGTTGCTCCTCTTCCAGTCCAGCTCTCTGCTGTGGCCGGAAAGGCACTGGAGAATGGCCCATGTACTTGGGCCCTGCACCCGCATGGGAGACACATGGCTCCTGACTTCAAATTGGCACCGCGTGCCGGCTGTAGTGGCCATTTAGAGTGTGAACCAATGGAAGGACGACCTTTCTCTCTGTCTCTCTCCCTCACTGTCTAACTCTACTTGTCAACAAAAAAAGAAGCTTTAACAAAGGAAGATAAAATTTACAAAATGGTGGGAAAAACAAATACACTTATTTCTAAAGTTGTAGATTTTGAATATTCAGAACAGGAAAGCTAAGTATCCCATTGCCAGAATAACCCATATTGTGGACAGAATTGAGCTCATTTTCCATCCCAATACAACAAAGGATTTGGGGTTATAAGGAAAAAGAAGTTCACACATGCAGAAATTTTAAGAAAAACAATGATAAAAGGTGAATTAGTGTCATCTAAAATACATAAGAAATGACAGTATTCCACCAATCTCTGAATATTTTAACTATAATTGATTAATAATTTTGTTCACTTATATAGCAGAGTAGTTATTCCATTTTCCATAAAAGTGAAAAGGAAATATCTAAAAACTAAAGAAACTGATGAAGTTACTTTATAAAATATAATGATGTTATTTGTACACACAGAGACACAGAAAATAAGTACATTTAAATCTTACAAAGGTCATGATAGTACAGAATCTAGTTTACTGCACACAAGATCCTGGATTTACTTACAATCCCAATTCAATTTACATATGAAATAATTTTACACAGTAAGAATATTTTACCTGTTTAAAATGTAACTTTAACTTCCTGAACTACTCTAATATTTTTCTTACTTACCCTGATTCTCAGCAAATACAGGAACATGTCTGTGGAATTAGTCAAGAAAATTGAGTAAATTATTCATCAGAGTTCACACAAAATCCCAGAAAATGCAAATTAGAAATATTTTATATGGACTCCATTCATACTTCCTGATGTAGCAATGAAGTAGAACAAATATAAAATTAAAAAAAAAAGAAAACTCAAGTCAGAGTAAGAGAATTTTACTAATGTTCTAGTACAGTTGATTTAAAAAAATCCAAACTGATGGAATACATAATTACCTTTTTTGAAATCAATCAGAAAGGAGAAAGGATATCTAAAAGCTACTGTGATACCACACAGAAGGAATGGACAATCATAACTTCAACTAGCACAGTAATAGAATAAAAATTGGAGAAAATATTACCAACAAAGTTGAGATGAATCAGTATTGAAAAATTTGAAAGAATTTGATTGTAAGGAACAAACATGCAATTAACTGGAATAGTGGATAGAGAAAAGTCTGAGGAAAGAATAAAACATGATTTGTTAAGATATATTAATGAAATAATTACATATAAACTTAAGGAAACAATAGAAAACAGATAGTTAAAACCAAAGTTATAGCTAAGATCAGTGAAAAGATGACCACATTGTACCTTTATATTCTGACCGTTGAAATTCCCATAAATTTGGCATTCTTATTATTCAAGGTTTCATGACCTTTCAATACAAACTAATATATTTCCATTCTAAGTTTTATATATTTTTACATATTTCTGAAATTAGAATGTGCTTAAAAATGATGACATGGTGTAATAGAAATGTTTACACTCTTTGAAGAAATTTTGCCATAATGCCATAATAAAGTTGATATGATCATCTTGGATCATCCTAAAAACACTAAAATTTCAGTTCTAAATCCATCTTTTCAGTTAATATCGATTCATATATTTCAAAAATGTATAAGGAGAGTGTGAACTAACACAAGAACATGACAAAAAAATCAGGTTTTTTTTATTCTAGAAAGAATGAAAATAAGCATTACCATCCATATTACTTTATAACATTATACCTAGGAAAATGCTGAAATTAATGATATTTAAGAGACAATCATGGTTATTTTCCAAATGTTGGGATGGCATTGGCTTTGATAAATAGGAAATGCATCAAAATATTTCTACCTCTAAGGTAAAAAAAAAAAAAAACCTGAAAAGTAATCTGTTAAAATGCTTTGGCTGGGTCTGGTGCTGTGGCATAGCAAGTAAAGTAGCCACCAGCAGTGCCAGCATCCCGTACAGGTGCTAGTTCAATTCCCAGCTGCCCCACTTCTGATCCAGCTCTCCACTATGGCCTGGGAAAGCTGTAGAAGATGGCTCAAGTCCTTGGGCCCCTGCACCCATGTGGGAGACCTGGAGGAATCTCCTGGCACCTGGCGTTGGATTGGCATAGCTCTGACCATTGAGGCCAACTGGGATCTAAACCAGCAGATGGAAAAGCTCACTCTCTCTTTCTGCCGTTCCTCCTCTCTGTGTGTAATTCTGACTTTCAAATAAATAAATCAGTCTTTAAAAAACAGAGTAAATAAAATGTCTTCTCTAACTGAAATTATCAAATGGCCAACATGAGATCATTTAAGTCTAGAAGTCTAGCAGAATGTCTTATTTGCTCACAGTTTCCCATTATTAGAGAAATACATTTCAAACTAGTAAGTAGAAGGAAAAGTCAAATCTCCACAAGGACACACAGCCACACACACACACACAAACACACACTCAGGCATTTTTCAACATAAAACAAAATTTATTATCTGAGAATACTTTTAAAAATGCCTTAATTTTTTTTTTAGTTTAAAAGTAAACATTGATTCTAAATGTTATTAATGTCCATAAAAAATGCCCCTGAGTAAAGGACAAAAATGGTAACTAGAAAGAAAAGAAAAAAAATAAAAATGATAGAAGGAATGGGAGTAATGGATTCAAGTGAAACCAAAAAATTAACTACAAAATACAGTTTTAAAAATGAGCAAGAGATGGAATCACTGGAAATGACAATCTAAATTTTCTTTGAAAAATCATTTCCTCTATATAATCAATAAGAATACTCTCAAAAGTTGTCAATGTATATCTTTCCAAAAATCTGGAAATTACTTAAAGGCTTGCAATAACTAAGGGAATGCTTACTCAAGAAGAGTGGGAGAATTTTGTTGAAAGTAGTGAGATTTGGGGCAATGGATACTTTACTATTCAGATCTTCCTCTCCTCTCCTGCTTGGTAGTATAAAATTTGCTTCATTTATCCACCAAAACTCCTAAGTTCCAAAGTCTGAAACTTGCTGTGTGCTCATCACGAGGAAAATCTCACACATGACCTCTTGTGAAGAGTTATGGCCAAAATGCAGGCACATTAAAAATATTGTATAAACTTAGATTCAGGCTATGAGTTTCATGTTTGGACTTGAGCCCCATCTCCATGATTTCTAATTATGAAATCTATAACTATTTCAAAATCTAAAAAAATGCAAAGTCCAAAATAATTTATTTTGAATACTGAACTTCTATTAAAAACCAGCAAGTTCATATTCACAGTCAAACTGAGCAGTTGTGCAGACACCAGAGGAAAAAGGACAGTTGGGCAGCAACATTAACAAAGAGCTTCCATTATTTAACCAGCCTTCCTCTTTCCTGGAAATCACAGGAGGGGGGCCTGTCATTATTTGGCCTAAATCAATCAATTTATTGAGAATTAGAAGCAGCAATACTTTCAACACTGAGGCTACCAGAAATGATAACATTTGGAGAAAATGTGCAGTGGACAAAAAAATAAATTTAAAAAGAAAAGCTGAGGAATGTGAAGTTGGTAGGGAGTGCATTTTTGTAGCCACACCAAACATATTTTGAAGCTCTAATATCAAGGGTGAATGAGACATAAGAGTGATTCCACAATCCAATAGTCAAAGGCTAGTCAATTCACTGGTTCCAAATATGTAAGGGACTTAGTTGACCCAAACATAAACTTCAATGGTCATACATAAAAACGGGCTATAGAATTAGTTCTGAAAAGTCATTAGTCACTAACCAAAGAATAAACCCCTCATATACACACAAAAACTAGCATGAGAGAGAATCTGAATCCTCATTTTCATTATATCAATGTCCAGTTTTGAACAGAAATACTATACAAGATGCAGAGATGACAGAAAATAATGAAAGATGCAAGTATGACATCCATACAGAAAAACATATGGAAGCTATCCCTGAGGAAGTCAAGATAGACTTCCTAGACAAAGAGGTTAAATCAGTTATTTAAACCATTCACAAAGAACAAAAGAAATATTATCTAAAGATAATAATAAAGTATGAGGTTAATGTCCCCATGCTGCTCAGAATATCAATGAAAAGACAGAAACTAAAGGGTATTTCAGGTTACACAATCTCTGAAAAAATTAAAAATGAATAAATGAAAATATACAAAGCTAAGGGGATCTTTGCAAACTAATCAAGTATACCATGATACGCATGCATGCCCTAGAAAGGAAAAGTGACAGAAATAGAATGTTTGAGGAGCCAGCATTGTGGCATAGTTGGTAAAGATGCTGCCTGCAATTCTGACATCCCATATGGTTGCCAGTTCGAGTCCTGGCTGCTCCATTTCCTATCTAGCTTTCTTCTAGGACCTGGGAAAGCAGAAGAAGATGGCCCAAGTCCTTGGGTCCCTGCACTCACATGGGAAACCCAGAAGAAGCTGCTGGCTCCTGGTTAGGATCATTCCAGCTTCAGCCATTGCAGCCATTTGGGGGAATAAACCAGCAGATGGAAGATCTAGCTCTCTCTCTCTCTCTCTCTCTCTCTCCCCCTCTCCCTCTCCCTCTGCCTCTGTCTCTGCCTCTCTGTAACTCTGCCCTTCAAAGAAATAAATAAATCTTTAAGAAATTAATGCATACATTAAGACATTTATAGATTTAATAAAATTGAGAGAATTTGTCATCAGTAAATCTATCTTACAAGAATTGCTAAAAGTACTTCAGGGTAATATGAAGGGGTACTTGATGATAGCAAATATTAACACAAAAACATAAAATGCACCAGTAATAGCACAATGTAAGAAAACAAACTGTAATAATATATATTTCATTGTAACTTTTTTCCACCTTCCTAAAGGATAACATGTCTGTGTTGAAAACATTAACTCCAATTATTTGCAAACTTTTCAAAAAATAGATGGGAAACACTCCACTCATTCAGTGAGGCCAGCATTATCCTCATACTAAAATCAAAAAATACATTCAGGAAAACCAATACAATATTCCCTATTTTTATAGGTGAGTAAACCTCAGCAAAAATGTGAACAAACAATTCAGTAACACCTAAAAAGATACTTTATATATAACAAAGTGGAATAACTTTTGAATGAAAAGATAATTAAACCAATGAAAATCATTCAATGTAATACAAAAAAATAGAAAAATAACAATAAGGATATAATCATCTCAGTAAACACAAAAATTTGACAAAACCCCACACTTCTTCATGATGAGAGCATCCAAAACTAGGAAAAGGCTTTTCTTAGCCTATTACATCATAGTAAAAGTGTCTCTACTTTTTAGAGGATTACTATGTTGAATTACATATGTTTATATGTTTGTTTCTCCACTACATTGTAAAGTTCTTAAAAACATATTTATTTATTTCTATATTTTGATCCCTGATATATGGTTTTGGCTAAAATAAAAATAATGGTTAAATGAATATGACCAAATATGCAATAACACATCAACAAATAAAGATATCCAAAAATTAAAACATGGCATTTTGCCTGTCAAAGTGTATAAATATATCTGCCATAAATCTTGGTGCAATTTTTACTATATTTCTTTTACTTCTGCTATTTTGTATTGAGGGAAAATAGGCAAGAAAGAACTTATGACAAGTAGTTGCCAAAACTCCCTTGTCAATTCACTCACTTCAATTATAAAAGTAGTGAGAAATGGACCTGGTAAATCTAATCTGAATAGTTAAATGTAATTCTTAAAAGAGCTAACTTTTACATGAGTGATAAGAACATTTTTCTGCACCTTCACTGTTAGTAATCATCTGTATTATCTATTTTAAATCAAGCCTCTGTTTAAACCTTATTTTCAGTAGTGCCATTGTTAATACTCATGGCAATTTTATGATTTGTCCATTGCATATTAAATAGCAAAATATACATTAATTTACTATGTAGTAAATGTTATTAATATATTAGATCATCTTCATCAGTACAGAATTAATCTAAAATGTCAGAATGTACTGAGATTTTCAGTGGAAATCTAAATAAATGGAAGCCTTAATGGGATAAAATGGTTAAACAATAAAATGCTATTGTACTCTAATTTACATTATTGATTTGAAAAATATTGCAAAGGAAATTGCATAAAATATAGAGGAATAAAATTTATAAAACACAATGTGTTCAGGTATACTTACTTTTAAAATATTACATGAAAGAGCAACAAAGAAAAATACTACCATCCCATTTTAGCAACGATTTTAACTCCTAAATATTGGTATTTTCCAGTATCCTTAATCATAAACTTCAACCCATGAAAAACTGAGTGTAGCATCAAGTTCTAATTTTCAAAAACATAAAATATACTCAACAGCCCAAGTATTTTCTATTAACTGTAATTCTATCCATGAGGTTCTCAGCCTACTATGAAAATATTCTGAAAGAAAACAAAAGTTCAATGAAATAAAATAGTAGAACTATTATCAGATAACACAATGTCCTTACAAATTTCTAACAAAAAAGAACACATTTATTAAAGAAAATTTCTTTCCATCCACTGATTTCATGTCACATCACACAGAAATGAGCTGCAAGAAAAATGTTCAGGTGAACCAAGAGCAATTTCTTTAAGTAACTAACAAGTAGAAAAATTTGTTCTACTGTTTAGTTTAACTTGACTTTTTGTCAGTTTCTTGAATTTCTTAAATTTGTTTGTATACATAAAATAAAGAGCTTCATCTCCTTCTACCAAATGGGAACTTTTAAGAGTCTAGCAATTAGGATAATATCTGTGAAGGTAATGTAATACAACTAAGTAACCATATTTCTTTTCATTTTCAGTTATTAACAGTGTGTAGCATCACAAATAAAGGCCCTTAGATGTAAAATTATTCTGTGCCACATAGTCTACAAACTTCCACAATTTCTTTTTCCCATCACTATTCATCTACAAGGTAAAAATATCTAAATACAAGATTTTAATACCAATATATTTAGAACAGTATGTTTAATTTACAATTGAAATGATAATAATGTTAAATACATAATTGTTAAATGAGATTAATGTTATTTTCCACTCATAAGAATTCAAGGAAGAAAAATTTGAAATTATTCTCTTCATTAAAAACTAATTGGGAAGAATTAAAACTTAATGGCTTATGAGCGGTTAACATTTTTTGAGTAATTCAACAACTTAGCTGCGAAACATTTTCAGAATTAATAAGAAAAAGTGAGAGCAATTACCTACACATTTTGCTTTGTGGGGAAAAAGAGTACATTTTGATACATATGGGCCCAGATCTGGAGATGAGAAGTTGTTCTGATTTATCTTAAGTTTATTAGCAGTTTTCTTGGCAATAATTTTAACTTTTTTCATTTTCAAATATAACTCCATCTATCCTATCATGAACAAACAAAAATCAATAATTTGAGAATACATTCTCCTATAAAATAAACCAATAACAAAAATTCAACAAATAAGTGTATCTTATCATAAATTATCTCCTATACTAGTTCCTCAATAATCTTGTAGCCCAAGAGAAAAAAATAGCTTACTTTATTTTTTATTTAATTTCAATTGAAATTAAGTATTCTAATATTTAGTAACTAATCCATTAGCCTTCCATTTCATCACATGTGTTTATCTGATATGCATAGCATTGTGAGAAAGTGGCCTGCTGCTTCTCCAATGATTGAACTCTCTTTCAGATAGATTTATAACTTTATATAACTTCAAATATTGTTAGCAAAATCTTAAATATAGCAAATGTATGTGATTTGGTATTATAATGGCAAATAAACTAAATGTTAACTAAAATTACAGCCTACTATATTACAAATCACCTCATACTCAGGAAAAAAATCAATTCTGAGATAACATATATGTTTACAATTTCAGGGATACTGAAATATGACCTACAAGTGATGTCAAAAATAACATACTAATCGTTATACATGGAAGATAGGATGAGGCAAATTGATGTTTGACATTGTCAACTACTTTAAGGATGGATATACTCAAGATGTTATCATCTCTCTTACATTGGCAAAAGCACTTTTTGTTGCAGTTAATTTTGAATCCTCAATCACTTTAAAAGTTAGTCAATCTCTAGAATTAGTGTCCATGACCACTTGTAATAAGAGCTATATTCATCCAGGTATCAGTTTTATTTGTGTGAAGACCTATATCTGTACCTGAATATATTTTGATCATTAAATATTAAACTATTATCTATAAAAATAAAATATTACTCTGTAAAGAAAATATATTCTATAAAAGTTGAACATTTGGGAACAACTATGAATTTGAGTGTCAAAACTGTCAAACTAGGCATGTATTATTCAAATAAAATATTTTGAAAAAGTATAAAATGTATATATGCAAATTACTCATTAATCACTTTCAAGTATTTTCTATTAAATATTTCAGGATGAAACCATATTATATCTGATTGAAATTTTGTTGAGTCAACCAAATTCTAGTTTATTTTACTGCATGGTACTATAACTTGCTTTCAGATAAGAGACTACACAAATGCAAGCTTAAATATGCCAGTTATATATAAACAGTAAACCTGTATAGAGAGTTCATGTCTAAAATTATTTTTTAAAGTATATAAGTGTATAATGTAGAAAAACTACATGTAAATCAATGATTATTATGCTACAGCCAATAATTATGATTAGTTTAATTATTTTAATTGAAAGCATAAAATATAAAATGAACAAAAAACATAGGTCATACTTAACACATGCAAAATAGAGTTAATCTACATTTAGTGAATCCTTACTTACAGATGAACACCAAAGGACAAAACTCCTGAATTTGCACCCATTCAACTTTTTCCACTTGACATGTACAGAGTGCAGCAGAAAAGTGACATTCAGGTATTTTCTGAACAAGAGAAACATTATTAAAATCATGTTTTTCATAAAAAATTCATACTAGTGGCCACCTTTTGCACTGATAGACCACAAGTAGTCTTATTATGGTAGCACAGCTAATTGCCCCTTGCATCAACTTGCAGCAACCAAAGACAGAGTAATGTCCATTGGATAAAGAGCAAAGACCAGATAAAGAGCAGTTACACACTTTTCTCCATTAGGATCTAGAAATTAGTTTTCAACACACAAAAATAAATATCTCTTTCAAGAACCTAATTTACCTTTTACACATAGTAATGAATGATTTCTTTCTCAGTTGCCCACCATTTATCACCATAGTGTAAAGTTTTTCTCATCCCCGTTTCTGGCTCTTCCCTTGCATTCCCCATTTTGTATTGATACATTTTATTCTTCTTAAAGATTACCTTAAAACTTTTTCAATTTCAAAATTCCCAAGTCTGGCTCTCTCCTTTATAATTGATTAGATGTTGAGTGGTTTGGTGGCTAATTTCTCAACTGCCTTATTTCATATGTGCCTTCCATTTTATTCCTAACTATTGGTAATTTTCATTATGCTTAATTGCTCCTATGAAAAATAACACACACACGCACACACACACAACATTGAAGGTAAGGTTAAATGGCTAAAATAAGTTGCCTTCTCAACATTGCAACTTTTTTGTTCATATAGGTTTATATAAAATAGTCATCTTATTGTTTTAAAATGGAAATTTATGTATTTGGGTACATAAATCTTGAAAAGTGGAAGAATAATTCTTAATGGATAAAAAAAAATTCAGGCCAAAGGTATACGCAAACCCATCCTCAATTAACATGGCAGTTTGATAATCCTTAGCAGCTGCCACTTGGGAACAATTATGACTGTTCACATCAAAATTCAAATATAATATTATATGTGAACCAGAGTTGAATGATTGTCAGATACCCATCCAATTTTCTCAACTGAATATACAGAGCAATCCACCTCTTACCCAGTGAATTTTAATTTTACATTGTATTTATAAACTTTTATTCATAGTAAGGCTGTTCATTTTAAATAATGATTTAATTAATTGATGAGATCCCATGAGACTGACAGAGTTCTCACATCCCTTGGGTCTCTCCCCAGATTTCTATAACAGCTTCAGGCTAGGGCCAACTGAAACCCTGAATCAAGGTGGCATGAACCAAACCATATTAATCTCCAAGACTTTCTCACAGGGTTGCATGACAAGGAAGCTGGATTGACAGGCTTAATCCAGTATGCAACTCAGATACTCTGATATGGGTTATGGGCATCTTAACTGCTAAGACAAACTCTGCCCTGAAATAGACCAATCATTCTGTTTTTCTCCTTCTATATTTTTACCTTATTGTGTAGAGGGAATGAGCACCCTTTAACTATATGTGTGTTATTTTTGTCAGTATTAGTTTTAATAAAGTCTGTACTTTATCAATGGTATAAATAACTACAAATTGAAATATTTGAATTAACTTGATTGATTGGCTGTATTTATTGTCATTACTTATAAAAACAAATATCAAAATAGGCAATGTAGGGAATATTAAACAAAAATTCTAATATACAAGAAACCATGATATATCATATATCAGATATTAAAATTTACCATAAATAATTTAAGTATACTGTAATGTGATGGTATCAGGTTACAGATTTACATCCTTGATTTATTGTGAATTAATTTTTGTATAAGATGTAAAGAAGAGTCTTGATTTTAAGGGATTCTTAAACAACAAAAACAAGCTGGAGGCATCACCATATCAGACATCAAGACACACCACATGGCTGTTATAATCAAAACAGCCTACTACTAGCACAGCACAAAAATATACATGAAGACCAATTAAACACAATAGAAATCCCCCAAATTAGTACATGCATCTACAATGAATTTTTGACGAATGAGCTAAAATCACTGTCTGTAGAAAGGACATCCTTCTCAACAAAAAGGGATGGGAAAATTGGATATTTTCACACCGATAATGAAACAAGGCCTTTCTTTGCTATTTGGGATCATTCATGTTTCCAAATCAATTTTAACATTGCTTTTATCTAGATCTGAGGAGGATGGTATTTTGATTGGAATAACTTTGATTGCTTTTCATAGTATGGACATTGTGATTACATTGATTCTTCCAAACCACGAAAATGTACCACTTTTTGTGTGTTTTACTCAATTTATTTACTTAATGTTTTGTAAATTTATTTTTAAATATCATTCACATCCTTCGTAAACTTATTTTAAGGCATGGAAGAGTTTTGGTTAGTGTATTTCTAAGCCACGGCATTGTTTGTATATACAAATACTATTGTGTTGATTTTTATAAGTTACAACTTTGACCAAACTCTCTTGTGAGTTCCAAGACTTTCTTAATGAAGTCTTTGGTTCCAATAAATATAAGATGATGTCATCCACAAACAGATAATTTGAGTTTCTTCTTTCCAATTTGTACCATTTTACATTTCTTTCTCTTGCTGAATGACTCTTGCTAAATCTTTGAGAACTTTACTGAATAGCAATGATGAAAGTGTGCTTATTTCTACTTCAACATCTTAATGGATATGCTTCCCAATTTTCCTTATTCAATATGATGCTGCCTGTAAGTTTTTCACATATGACTTGATTATGTTTGTATAGTCTTTCTATACTGATTTTGCTTAATGTTTTTATCATGACAGGATGTTTTCTCTGCACTTATTGAGATAATCTTTTGGATTTCACTCATCAATTTGTTAATGTTATGTATAACATTTAATAGTTGCATATGGTGCACCATCTCTGCATTCCTGAGATAAATCCCACCAGGTCTTGGTGTAATCTTTTTGGTGTGTTGTTGGATTTCTTTAGCTAGTACCTTGTTTAGGATCCTTGCATCAGTGTTCTTCAGGAATATCAGTTTGTAGTTCTCTTTGTTGTATCTTTTTTAGGGATTTAGTATAAAGGTGACACTGGCTTCGTAAAAGGGGTTAAACATAAATCACGCTCTTTCAACTATTTTGAATAGTTCTAAAAGCATTGAAATTGTTTAATGAAAAGTTTATTAGAATTCAGCTACGAAGCCATTAAATCTTTCACTTTTTTCTTGGGAATGTCTTTATTAGTGGTTCAATTTCCATCTTGGCTATTGGTCTATTTAGAATTTCAATGTCATCATAATCAATTTTGGTATAGCTTATGTGTCCACAAATCTATCCATTTCTTATATATTATCCAATTTGCTGGGATAAAATTAAATAAAATAATTTCTAACAATTCTTTTCACTTCACTGGCATCAGTTGTAACATCTGCATTTCCATCTCTGATTTTATTAATTTGGGTCTTCTCTTTTTTGGTGATTTAAGCTAACTGTTAATTAACTTTATTGTTGTTTAAAAAAGTCAGCTCTTCATTTCACTGATCTTTTTGTATCTTTTTTGACTTCAATGTTATATATTTCTTCTCTAATTTTTATTATTTCTTAATTTGGGTTTGGTTTATTCTTGTTCATCTAGGTCTTGGAGATGTATTGCAAATTTCATGATGTAGGCACTCGTTGCTATTTAATCTTTCTTCATAACATGGTTTTTGCCATATCCCATAAATGTTGATGTGATGTGCTGACATCTCTTGTTTAGTTCATGGAAGTTTTTTTTTTTTTTTTTTTTTTTTTTTTTTCCTTTTGAGTTCTATGATACACTGTTCAGTTAGGACCATGTTGTTCAGACTCCAGGTTTTTGTATATTTTCTAGAATTTTTGTGTTATAAATTGTTGCATTTGATTTATCAACAATGTTGCAGTGGATTCGTTTCTGAGAGGAACATGGTGGGGGCAAGAGGTGTGGAGTCACCACACAGACTCCAGGCGTCAGGTGAAAGCAGGCCTGAGGCGAGCAGCCTGCAGATTCGTTTATTTGAGTTAGTACAACAGTTTATATAGCCCAGACCAGCCAATCCAGTCAAGGGGCGGTCTAGGCCCCAACCAATCACAGCCTGTTGCCAGGCAGTTTCCAAAGCCATCCAATCACAGCCTGTTGCCAGTCAGGCTCTTGTCACCAGGCAGTTTCTGAAACCATCCAATCACAGCCTGCCATCAGTCAGGCTCTGTTGTTATGTGGTTTCCTCTGTTGCCATGTGGTTTCCAAGGCCATCCAATCACGGCCTGTTGCCAGGCAGTTTCTGTTGTCAGCAGCCATCTTGGCATGACTTTTCACCTCAGTGGCCAGCTTGGCATGAACTTTTCACCTCATTCCATCACAATTAATTACCAGCTTATTTCAACTGTGGTCAGAAAATATATATAGTATAATTTTTTAATCTGTTGAAAATTTTTCCCAAACATGTGATCTATTCCAGATAATGTCCCATGCCCTGATTGTGTATTCTTCTTCTGTGAAATGGATTCTTCTGTAGATATGAATTAGATTCATTTGGATCAATGTGTAGATTAACCTCATTGCTTTCTTGGTTGTATTGTCTGGTGATGTGTCTATTGACGAAAGTGGGGTATTGAAATCACTAATTATGATTGCTTTGGAATATATGTCTCCCTTTAGATCCATTAATTTTTATTTTAACTAACTGGGGGGGTCTAATATTTTGTTCATTTACATTTACTATAGTCAAATCTTCCAGTTGAATTGATCCCTAATCATTACATAATAATCTTCTTTGTCTATTTTAACAGATTTGTCTTAAAGTATATTTTTGCCTAATATTCAGATAGGTATGGGGCCAGCACTGTGGCACTGAGAGTTAAAGCCCTGGCCTGCAGGGCTGGTATCTCATTTAGGTACCATTTGGAGCCCTGGCTCCTCCATTTCTGATTCAGCTCCCTGATACTGTGTCTGGGAAAGAAGCAGAATATGACCCAAGTCCTTGGGGCCCTACACCCATATGGGAGATCTGGAAGAAGCTCTTGGATCCTGGCTTTTCCTGGCCCAACTCTGGTCATTGTAGCCATTTGGGAAGTGAACCATTGGATGAAAGACCCCTCTATCTCT